ACTCAAGCACTGAAGGAACAAATAACATAACATAATGAAACGGTTTTTACGAAGTCAAGGGAAATAACTCTACAAATACGGGATAAATCCACAAGCGGAACCCAAGGTGCACAACTACATATGCTGACCGACCTTCCCTTAAGGTTTAATGACTCTATGTCAAATCCTTTTTGATTTACATGCAACAAGTTGAAAATTGCAAAAATTTTCTAAGTCAAGGTCAATAACTCTAAAAAAATAAAATAAATCCACACGAAAATATCCAGTGCACAACTTCACATGCTGATCAACATTCCTGCAAAGTTTCATGACTCTATGTCAAACCCATTTTGAGTTACATGCGACACAAGTTGAAAATTGCAAAATTTTACTAAGTCAAGGGCAATAACTCTAAAAATACTATATAAATCCAGACAAAAATACCAAGGTGCACAACTACACATGCTGATCAACATTCCTGTAAAGTTTCATGACTCTAGGTCAAATACTTTTTGAGTTACATCCGACACAAAAGAGAACGGACGGACAAGGGTAAATCTAAATGCCCGCCACTAAAGTGGGGCCACAAAAATATCTTGTTCAAGCGTGTTCAACCACTTCATGTCCTGCCCCCTAATACAATAACAGATTACAGTCATCGAATTTAGCACTGGCCCGGTGGCCCATGACCAGTGTAAATTTTAAGAGCTAAATATATAGTAGAATAAATTCAAAACTGGAATTCGGACGAGTATATTCAAAAATCTTAAATTCAATGACTGAGAGGCAATGTATTCAGGTTAGTGCTTAAAGTATGACACTGTTTGTGCTATTTTTGTTCTTTGCAAATCATCATGTGGGATTTATTTTAATGGACCAGTATTCAGATTCTCTAGTATAGGCTTAGACAGTGTCAAAGACAAACCATTTTAGCTAGGCTGTCACTTGGACCACTGAATGACCGATAAATTTTGGTGGCCTAGACAACTTTTTTAGTGGTCCAATAATTCCTATACATGCACAGAAATCTAGAGATTAAATCACACACAAACACACACATAAATCAAAAACAAACAGAAAACATGATTTCTGTTTCAAATAAATTTTTGGAGGTATCTTATTGTGATTTAAAAATACAGTCTGTCAGTAATGTGTTATTTTAAAATACAGACATGATGTAGGCTTATTGAACATCATCTTTTCTTGTTGATCTTGTTCTAAATATATAACTAGATCTACATAAATTAATGGTCATATAAAAATATTGTTTCTTTATGAAAAACTTTTTTTTCTAATACAAGTTCAAAATTGCTAAGGTAGTGAACTGTCTGCATACTAGGGTATTGCACTGTCTGGGTGTAAAAAAACTTTCTAGCCATGCATTTTTCAAAACAATATTTTAAATTTCAATATTTTTAAAGGGCATAAGCAAATAATTTCCTGCAGGGAAGCACAGCCATATTTAACGATGCTTTGTTTTTTATTTATTATTATTATATCTTTCCTGTTCAACAAAGAAATAAATGAAAACAGGTCGCGAAAATATGTGACAAATGTCCGTTTACGCATTTTTTCCAGTAAGGTTTAAGTATCTTAACTGTAACTAGGAATAAGCTGGAAATACAATTATTATTTCTATTGTTACAGTCGGCAAATTGTTACAAAATAATGCTTTTAGAAGTGAAGAAAGGTCATTAAAATAATCTCTAGACTCTTCATTTTTTCTAGAGGTCATAAACACGCCGTCTCTGTTTGGGAAAAAAACAGTGCATTTATGATAATACTCACAGTGAATTTCACCGATTGCAGCTTTGAAGGTCTTCTTCTGATAATTTGCTTGGGCTATTTCACCTTCCTCGTTGTATGTCTTTATTGGGGAGACGATATCAGTTCACTGTCGATATGAGACGAAGTGTCTGCCGTCTTTGAATATTGCGCGCACAATAAACCTGTGTTCTACGTAATAAACCTGTGTACTACGTCAGTAACATGTGCTTGATTCGCAAAATTTCGTGTAGTTCCGTTGTTTTTGCCGTCAATACAATGACTGAATAATTTCAATTATATCGTTGAATTTTATTTCACAAATCTATTATTTTAGCCCAACAAGCGCTTGAATTTCATACAAAGCTACAGTAGTTTCCAAAACAATTGTGTTGCTACGTCATCAGTATACGTATTAAATACGTCATGAAATTATGCTCGTCTCGGTTAGCGTAAATATACGGAAATTGCTCGAGTATAATCGTAAAGGTTCGCTGGTTAAGTAAAGACTAAGTTATCATCGTTAATTTCCGTCAGCATAAATATGGGCCTACTTTAATTCAGGCGGAGATTCGGGTTTTGACTCGTGAAAATTTGGAAATGCACAAATTTGACACGTGAAAAAATCTGCACAAGAGTCTATTTCAATAATAATCACCTTAAATCCACCCCTAATTAGATCTACATATGTTCAAATCACAATCAATAAAAATGTCAACAGGCAGTATAAGCCGTGCATAAAGTGGTTTATACACACAGCCTGTGCACTGAAGCATGACATCAGTGGATGCAATTTGACAGCGCTAAAAATAGCTCTACACAACTGATAAAAATTACATACTTCAGATGTCAATTATTGATTATTTTCTTAAGGTTTATAATACGTCTTTGATTTACTTGGAGTGCCTGAACATTTGTTATTTCTTTTTGGGTTATATATTCCTATTTAATATCTATTAATTAAATGGCCAATGATAAAATTGTCATAATGCAGGTTGACCATTACTTAACAGGTCTATTATATCGCCTGATTGGTGTATCATATACAGATCTGTGTATCATACACTAATCAAGGTATCTAGTCATACACAAATCGGGATATACAAAAATCACCATGGTGATGCTATGGTATGGGAGATAATCGCACTTTGCACATTACACGTATTAAAGATTACATGACACCGGTTGTAATCAGCCAGACATGTTAGAGAAAGTGTGCTGCATTGTTTGCGAAACTGCAAGATTCTGAACGACTATCGTGATCAGAAACAGTTACAGCTACTTATTTCATGGTAAATAAACTACATAATTAATTTCTACCATTTTTTTTCACGATAAAATGTTGCTCTTGAATTCTGCCGCCATCTTCTTCCTGTGTTCACGTGATTGTACCTCGCAGTTGCCCGGATGCTGATGAAACATCATGTACGGTTAAGTAACGGCGTGAATGTATGGTGTACAAAAACAGACATAGTGCTTAAAGTACTTTTAAGTCACTTTAACAAGATACACAAAAGTGTGTATGGTTGGAAAACGAACAAAGCGTATATAAATGAAATGTTAAAGCGATTTACAGGTAAATTCTGATAACGTAAATAAGATATTTGGCATTTATACGTATACAGTAAATAATAAAGTAAATAAAATATCTTATTTAATGTGATAATGTATTATTACCTTACCAGGCAAAATTGACTTTTTTGTCCGTTTGTCTGTCCGGCTAACATTTTCTTGGGATGATATTTCGTTGAAAACCACTGGTCCAAACTTGATGCTATATTTGTTAATTGTTTGCGCCTTTTATTGTTATTATTAAATTTTCAGGTGAATTATGGGTCCTAAACCCAATAAGTGTTCTTGCACAGTCCACGAAAATATTGTTGAAGAAGAAGGTGCAAGTACATTTCAGGTTTTCAATTTGAAAACTGGTAAAAAAGTGCCAAAATATGTACTTGATGCTATAGTGAAAGATGGGTGTATAAGCCCCAGAGCTACATACCTTTGTTCCTTATGTATGAAACATTTTCAAGGTAAAGCAGAACCAGTGGTAAAGAAATGTAAAAATGAAGACAGTCTGGTTGACAAGGTATGTAATGCATTGCGATGTGATGAATTAAGTGCGGAAGAAGTAGAGAAATTATCAGGGCATTTAGGTAATTATATTGCAAGACATGAAAAAATAAATTCCGAAAGGAAGGATTTAAAGTCTTTGGAAAGGCAGTGTACCCGAGAGGTTGAGGAAGTTTTTGGCGCTATTCTTGTTTCTTTGTTCAAAGGAATCGCCTCTTCAAACAATTCCATAGAAAACGACTTAAAAATGAAAATTGCACTTGAACAGGTATGTGGGTTGATAAATCCACTATATGTTGGTAATGTTCATTATTCTGTTTCACCTATTGCACATTACATTACAGGTAGTAGTAATTTAGTGAACATTTTAAATAGGTTATTTCCAACCGTGCATTATTCAACATTAATGCAAAATATCGATGCCACTAGTCAGGAAATTAACATTCCAAGTTCGGGCGATGGTGTCATATTTTTTGACAACAATCAAATTCTTTCAAGGCGTTGGAATGTTGTATATGACTGCAAATCAATGGTAAGTGTTGTGACTTCGCTTTTGTTTCTTCAACCACCAGTCGACTATGAGCTACAGAAAAACCCTGATTTAAGCCCCTTCTCGTGGTTGTCTACACCACCGGATCTTTCTTTTTGTGTAAATCAGCCAACATTGAGTAACACATATAAAAAGTACAGAAATGAATTTATTGCACAAGTGCTGTCTGAGGTGTTCAATGAACAAGTAGTAGAAAGTGAAAATATTTTAGATGAGATTGACAAGTTAACATGTAATGATACTGCTGTGAAGAGAGTGAAACCAAATTCAGAGATACTTATTGAGTTTGACACAGAAGGCAATATTAAGAAACACGCACAAAAAGACCAAACTGCTGATCCTTATGGAGGTGTTCCTTCCCAAGTAAAGGGTAAACCAATTGTAACTTTATTAGAGCCCCAATTTACTAATCCATGCTCTTATGAAGCTGTGGCCGATATTTTACAACATATTTCAGAAATTGCATCCAGAGACTGGATTGCAGCGGGTTGCGATGGATTGCCATACTTGCTTGGTTCAAGAATAATTGAAAATTATTTAAAATGTCCAATTTGTCAGGTGTCGTTTTATAAACTTGGTAAATTTCAAAATCATTGTAGCACTCTCCACACCGACGTAAACATCAATGAGTCAGAAAGTAGGGTATTTCGTAATATATTGCTAATTCCAGGACTTGGACATTATGAAATAAATTATGTTAAAGCTCTGTTTAAACTACTTTGGCCGATTGTCTTAAAACAGCTGGCAAAACTGATGGGATATAAATCTCCCAACGCATTGGTCTTTTGTGAAGCGGCAACGAATCACCACAAGTCTTGGACCCTTCTTCAAATCTGTCTTCATGGTTGCAGCAAGGAGTTGGTATTGGAATACGTCCGCCACTGCAAAGGAAATGAAAAACATCCATCGGTTTCTGAATATTTTACTTTCATTTCTAACGGACAGAGTAAGAGATTTCAGTATGTATACAGGGTCATTTTTGATTACCTGTTTGCGCTGGATCTGTTCAGGAAAGGCGTTAGGAGAAACAATGCTGACATTATTGCTTGTTCCATGCATCAGTTATCCATATTATTCTATGGATTGAACATGACTTCATACATGGAAATCGACGTCCGTAGACAAATAGTGGCAAATCAATGTCCAGATGAAGTAAAGACCCTGATACATGACATGTCAAGCATGTCCCATTCTGGTCACCCAAGTAAAGGTGAAGGTGGGGACTTCATACTAGAAGCCTACAACAGGAAAACAAAGATGTGGATGCCACCAGGTGCTGGAAATGAACGAAGATGGCTAAGAGTGTACAGAAACTTACCGCACATAGAAAAAGTATGTTATGTATATGTTCAAAATATACAGTCTGTTTACAGTTACTAATTGAATTTTCATTTCATTTTTCAGTTTCACAGAAGAGCATGAGCACAAGATCTTCTCTTTCTTCACCTACACAAGACTGTTTATACAATATTAACTTATGGTACATGGTATTTAACCTATGGGTAATGAGTATCTTGTTATTATTTTTGGTTAATATTAACCCAATTAATATATAATGGTAAACAATTACTTACTATCACAAAGAATCACTAACGTTTCTAATATTAGTTATTTATAGAAGCTTGTTTTAAATGTTAGGAAAGATAATTAATTTCCATTCACTTACATTTAAGAAGCCTTACATACATGTTTTCCTGTGTTTAACGCCCGTTTCAAACATAGATTAGTAAATTTTAGAGTGTACGTTTATAACTTACCGATGTTCCTGTGATGAATCAGTGCTATAATCATATCTTTGAGAAACGCTCTTCTTTTGCATATAAAGAGTCATGATCGGTAGCAGGTCTCGAACCTATGCCTGACCCTCAATACATGAGACATTTCATTTATTGAAAATGAAAAATAATTATTACAAGTAAACTATATTTATATCAGTAATAACTGTAGAAAAAACTATTGAATTGTGCTTAGTTTACGTCACACTTCTGTATATTTTAATTAAATTGTTAATTAAATTCAGTTGAAACTGTTGTATTGTGGAGACGAAAAGGAAGATGAGGGTTTCAGGTATGGATATTATTGTAATTTGTTTCATTTAGTAATATAATCGGTAATGTAATATGTAAATTGATTAAAATTCCATTTCATACATTAAAATATTTTATCATTTAAATTTAAATTTTATATTTATGTTAAACTTCTGATGGCCTGAACTGAAGTATTTCCTATATATATTTAGAAAACGAGACAACACGAATGCTGAGGCACATTGGCGGAAAAAGATAAGGGATACTGGCTTTTTCAGAGGGGAGTTTACCTCAATGGATGGTGAAGATCTCGATTATGACCTGATAAATTTCAACAGCAAATGTTTGGAAAATAAGAGACGGTTAATAACTTAATATTACTATACATTATTTCATTCATGTTAATTTTCTATCTTGCACAATATAATTTAGGCCAACATGTAATTAGCAAGTAAAATAGATAAAAGAGTAATTATACATTTATGCAACAGAATTTAATAAAAAATACTATTGATTTATATTTCATCCATCTATACTCTTTTTCTTGCATATTTCAGGTACTGTGAGTCTTTCCCTGACAACTACAAATGTGAAAGGATTTTTTTCACTCCAGAAGACAGACGAAAATACAATGATATTTCCAGCAAGACAAAGGCAGAAATCTCAGTTATGATTGTATCAACAATACAGCTAATTGCAGAGGTTGTGTATATTTTTTAATGTTCATCAGTTCAGTTAATCATTTAAGTCAACTTTGCTTGTAAGATGATTTTTACACTTTAAACAATGTTCTTTTATCTTTAGGAAGGTGGTGAGACCGAAGCCCAAATCTTACGTAACACCTGGTTGAAAGAAATTAAATCTGGAAAAAAAGCCATGTATTTAGAATTCTACAGAGACTGTGTCATTTCGCTAGAAGAAATTCAAGAAAAACAGACAACTTGTAAGTTATTTATTTTGCATGCTTTGGGCAAAACCAATGTATTTTTTTTAACATTCTATCTGTCATCCCGCAAAAACCTAAACATTTCACATGAACCCAATAATTACACACTGGGTTTTCCTTTTCACACCCAACCCAAAGTTCTTTTCCTTGCACTTCAACTTCTCCACAAATTCTGCATTTCTTCTCGTTGTCCATATCGTCCGGAACATCTTCCCTTTCTACAAAATTAGGAGACAGTGGTGGCTCTGTTATGTTCTCCACATTTGGAAGGGTGTTTTCTCCGGCAGCGTTCAAAGTCATCTTTGAAAAATTAATGAATGGGTTACTTCAGAAAAGTACAGGCAAATAATATTGACAGATTTAAGTTATGACAATAAATCATAAAACTATTTTCAAAATAAACATCTGCATGTTAAAGTCCTAAATTGAATTTATAAAGTTAAATTGTTCCTTAAGATATTAACGATGTGTTTGTTGATCAATAACATAGATGCATAACCCTAAAATACATTAATATATATAAAACGCGCATTAAATTATTCGTAGTAAGTATATGTGTCGATGTGTATTTTGTTATAGTGTTATTTTATTTCACTTACTGCATAGTTTGGATTGGATCGGTAAACTTCCGCTGCTCGACCGTCTTCCGGTTGAATGCTAAGGGTGACATTTGCACCGGTTAAATTGACTAGTGATTTCGCCTGAAACATGTTTTAAAAATTAATTTCATTGTTGCTACTAAATTTCAGAATATTTTTAACTGGTATGAAAATGTTGTTGATAGAAAATAAATAACAGTCTGTCTATATTTATTAATAGATAATGTTCAGTATAATACCTTACCGACAATAGATTAAATGAAATTGGTATTGTAATAAATACAATTTGTATGTAGAAATTTTTATATACGTGTTTATCGCAAATGACGTTTTAAAGCAAATTTGCAATTATTATAGAAAGAATATTGAACTGTATACTTACATTCGTAAACAGTGTGTGCTTACGTTTACAAAACGCATTAGCACGTTTTTTCCTATCTTTGATATATGAGGTGGTGTCAAATTTTCCCTTGTGGTGATTATTCCTTGCATTACTTGTGTCACCGCCTGTACCTTTTTTTTCCTTTTTCCCTGTGTATGGTACCTGCAGAGTTTACAGTATTTACATAATGTCTTAATTAACATGATAATAACACGTATCTTTCATTTATAGAATATCACTGTTATAATAGTTTATATTTGTTACGACTTACACGAAAATAATACATAAACATCTTTATAAATAATAATATTATAAACTGAGTACGAAGTTTCACGAGTACGAACTATTACTTTTTATGATACCAAATATACACCGTACATTTCATTCTAAATATAGCTGATGCTGAGTTTGACGACGCTGGCTTAGAATAGAATGCTACTGCGCGGGAACCAGCTGTACAAAATGGCGGACATTGGCAAGTATGACATTTTTCGCCATGAAAAATCAAGAATTTTCCTTTTCTGACAACAGTACAGATATTTTACAAAGTGGTAAAAGGTACATGTTGATATGTATTACAATTATATATGTAAATGCAACATCAAAAAGTTTATTTTTTTCTTGTGAAGTGCAATATTACCTCTATCGATGCCATTGTTGATACAGTCTCTATGCGGAAATGAAATGTGAATAGAAAAATGCACGACGTTAAGTGATGCGTTCAATCGATATCCCGATTTGTGTATGACTAGATACCTTGATTAGTGTATGATACACAGATCTGTATATGATACACCAATCAGGCGATATAATAGACCTGCTTAAGGTCAATTGATTATTAAATTTCAATTAAATAATAATAATAAAAGTAATCCTAGAAAAATATTATTAAGTAGATCTAGATCAGTATGTTGTTTTATTTAAAAAAAGAAAGAAAACATTTTTATTTTCAATTTTATTGTCTTCCTTCTTTATTTACTTGTTTACTTTCAACAAAGAGAATTCCTAGTCTTTAGGAATTTATGTAAGATTCAAGGAATTTAGCACAGATGTTAAGGATTTTGTTCTACAAGATAAATTCTAAGTAATTCCTAAAGACTAGGAATTTTGCAAAATCTTAAGTCTTAGAAATCTCAGAAAATAAATTACAATTCCTAGTATAACTTTGAAATTGATGAGTTGTTTAAAAATTATTAGAAATGCCTAGTTCTCAGTAACTGGTATTTCCTAGGCATTACTAGAATAGCCAAGACTGGTTTTAACATTCTGGAATTTTCTAGGATAATAACTGGGAAATACTGGGACTTTTTAAATACCAGTATATCTTTCTGCATGATTTTAAAAAAGTTATTTTATTTCTTCTTTGATGGTGATATCTTTTATATTCTAAAGGCCTAGCTGTCTAGTGTACATCATTTACGTTATATTGCAGACTATCAAATTTCCATAATCAAAGTACTGAAGGTACTAACGATACAGAAACGACTGGGGTTTATTAGTAAAAAACAATATACAAAGGCTAAATATTTTGACATTTGGTGTCAAGAGGTAAGACCATTTCGATACAGAATTCTTAAGAAATACATGGGGCTTTAAAGTCTAGCTTAAACAAAACAAAACAAAACAAGATATACAAGAACTGTTAAAAGTGGACATAAGTGATTCATGCATATGTCAGCTATAAAGAATCGTTTTAAGTGTACATAATGAGAAAATGAGGGGACATAATTATTTTTGAACAATTGCCATAAATAAGATATCTATTCTCAATCTGATCCTCCAAATATCAGAAATTTTATATTAATACATGCTGATGTCTAATGCTGACTAGATTTATCTATAGAGCAATTAACAGATAAATTTTAGAGCTAGTGTCTTTACTCCCTATTGTTTTTTTGGAAAGAGTGAGTCACTCTCAAGACACAAAAAAAAAATAATTTTGTTTTACAATAATAATAATAATATGTAGGACTTCATGTCTTTTCATACCATTTAACTTGTCTGTCAAACATGCTTTCTTTCATTTACAGTGAAAGTTCCTATTTTCGCGGTACTAAAACAGCTAACAGTAATTTTGAAATCAAAGTTATATACTATTGTATAGTATTTTGCAAAGCTTCCTTTTGAAAGAAAATTGAAGAAAAGAATGCTGTAGAAATTTGTTTTTGGTTTGAAATTACGTTACCGCAAGCAGTATAATTTATAAAAATACAACAGCTAGTGTCTGAGTTTCAACTCTGTCGCAGGCATTGTAAACTACAACCTTCACATTGTACAGACAAACTATCTGGCTCATGAGTTTTAAAAAAAAAAAAGAGAAGACGACAGGGTTTGTTCATGTGATTTCTTTTGCTGCCTCTGGACGGCATGACTCAGTTTGAAAGTAAATTTACACCCCACACCGGTGAGTTGTACACATACAATATTGTGTTGATGCACTACAACACGCCTGGCAAACTGTCGCTCCACTTCAAAATTGTGGTGTACGGTAAAACGAGCGAACGGCATTTCCGAGATAGAGCGGAAGGCCGATTTAAACGCCTAATTGTAAGTATTGTTTATGTTTTTGTCTTGTTATTTATTCAAGTTGTATTTTTTCGAAAAACGGAAAATATAGTTCCGTGTAGGATTGATTTAGGCTTCCAATTATTTAACCTTTTAAAAAAAGAAAATTATATTAAGCCCGGGAGAACTTTTCTCCCTGACGAAGCGAACGATGATTTGTAGAATATTGAACTTCCCAACCATAGAAATGCCATACCTTTCGGATTTCTTGAAAAAGTGTATTAGTAAATTATCAACCCGTAATAAGAACTTGTCCTTCGTGCAAAATAAATTACTCCTAAAGGATTTCTTAAATTTGTAAATCGATATTTTTCGAAAGTAGTGGAGCGAAAGGGCGAGAGATGGAGCAAAAGGTTCGATGTTGAGCGCAAGGCGATATTAATTTGACGTATTAGGAGGAGCGTAGTCTATGATTTTTATATATAAAAGCTATAGAAGTTAAAAGTGTTAAGACCGAGATATATATACCTGTTAAAGAGAACTAATAAATTGTGATATCCTTTCAACGCCTATAGTGTAATAACTGTAATCTCGAAGGTGTCACCTATGGCTGCCGTGTAGATTCCATTATTTATGTTCGAAATTTGGATGAGGCCAGACCATTGAATCATACACATTAATGCATGGCATAATACAGGATGCCACTTATTCGAGGTCAAACATGATTTTTGACACGGTTATGTACATTTAAAAACGCGTGTCCGTGCAAATGCGACAAAGTCTACCGCGAACAAATGTTTCCGAGCAGGTACGTGTAACTCGATTGTTTACGCCAAAATGTTATGTTTTTCGAAAAGTTAGAAATTCATGGTGCAGAACAGAAACAAAATTATGCAATGCATGGAACGCATTAAATTAAATGGATCACTACTACCGAGTTCAGTTCACAATGACCTTTTGTAATTAATAGCTCTAATTAACGTACCTGTTCTGAGCAAAACACAAATAAGTCACGTTTTCATGAATTTGAAAGGTGGGGAATCGCTATGAAAATGGTTGACAAGGTGTCAGTCGTTATAAGGATATAACACGTGTTCCAGTTATGCTTCAAGATACTTTCTCCCTTATTTAGCATTGTTGTTTAGTTTATTATTTTCCTCTCAAAGTGAGGCAGAACTCAGTCGGTGTACGGACTAAAATTATCAATAATATAATAGACCTAGTTATAGTAGAAATTTCTATTTACCCTTACAGACGAAAATAATAAACTTAACAACAATGCTAAATAAGGGAGGAAGTATCTTGAAACATAACTGGAACATGTGTTATATCCTTATAAAGACTGACACCTTGTCAACCATTTTCATAGCGATTCCCCCACCTTACAAATTCATAAAAACGTGGCTTATTTGTGTCTTTGCTCAGAACAGGTACGTTAGAGCTATTAATTACAGAAAGTCACTGTGAACTGAACTCGGTAGTAGTGATCCATTTAATTAAATGTGTTCCATGCATTGCATAATTTTGTTTCTGTTCTGCACTTTGAATATCTAACTTTTCGAAAAACATAACATTTTGGCGTGAACAATTGAGTTACACGTACCTGCTCGGAAACATTTGTTTGCTGTAGAACTAAAAAAATTCGATTTTGTCGCATTTGCACGGACACACGTTTTTAAATGTACATCACCGTGTCAAAAATCATGATTGACCTCGAATAAGTGGCATCCTGTATTATGCCATGCATACATGTGTATGATTCAATGGTCGGGCCTCATCCAAAATTCGAACATTATAAAGGAATCTACACGGAAGCCATAGATGACACCTTCGCGATTACATTTATTACGCTATAGTCGTTGAAAGGATATCACAATTTATTAGTTCTCTTCAAAATGTATATATATCGGTCTGAACACTTGATCACGTCTATTTTAACTTCTCTAGCTTTTAGATGTAAAAAATCATAGACTACGCTCCTCCTAATACGTCAAATTAATATCGCCTTGCGCTCAACATCGAACCTTTTGCTCCATCTCTTGCCCTTTCGCTCCAATACTTTCGAAAAATATCGATTTACAAATTTAAGAAATCCTTCAGGAGTAATTTATTTTGCACGAAGGACAAGTTCTTATTACGGGTTGATAATTTACTAATACACTTTTTCAAGAAATCCGAAAGGTATGGCATTTCTATGGATGGGAAGTTCAATATTCTACAAATCATCGTTCGCTTCGTCAGGGAGAAAAGTTCTCCCGGGCTTAATATAATTTTCTTTTTGTAACAGCTTAGATAATTGGAAGCCTAAATCAATCCTACACGGAACCACATTTTCCGTTTTTCGAAAAAATACAACTTAAATGAATTAAAAGACAAAAACATAAACAATACTTACAATTAGGCGTTTAAATCGGCCTTCGATCCGCTCTATCTCGGAAATGCCGTTCGCTCGTTTTACCGTACACAACAATTTTGAAGTGGAGCGACAGTTTGCCGGGCGTGTACAAGGTATTAAGTGAATATTAGTGTGCATGAATTATATTTTCCTAAAAGCATTTAAATAAAACTTGTAAAAACTGCAGCTTCTGTCACAATCTTTTAGCTTAAAAAAATGGTTCAAGAAAATAACTTGTAAAAAATGGTAATGTAAGTATTGTTTAACATCACCATTTATTTTTAAATGTTGAAAAACTGGTAAAAAATGCTGGACACAAGTTTTTTAACAACAAGTTTTTACCAGTTTTTTAAGAACTGCTGTTTAAATGGAATCCTACAAATTAAGATGAAGGGCAAAAAATTGTAAAAAAGGCATTTATTTGAAAAAACTGCTAAATAACTGCAATATAACTACAAGTTAAATGCCTTTCCTTTTCCTAAGGGATTTCAGAAAATGTACAAAAACAGAAAAGTCTTACATTTCTCACGGGCAAAAAAACTGGTATTTCTTCAATAATTTGTCTGTTTTTGAAAAAAATAAACCTGCATTTAGGTAAATATTTATCAGTCAGGAATTGGCAATTAAGATAACAATCCATATTTAACAGAAGTAAGTATATAGAGGCAAACTACCCATTCAAAACTTTCTAAGATGGGCATTTTTTGATAGTCTTACAATTGTCACGGCTAGATTTCACTAGTTTCAAGGGGAATATCAAAGAATACATATAAAATCTCAAAAATATTTCTTAATAGCAGACACATATCCTATTCAGTTGTGATTTTGGTTGTTTTCATCAAATTTAATGTATTTAGCAAGAAAAAATTCTCAACATTTCAGAAAATGTACAAAAATATAAAAGTCTTACATTT